TTCCGAGACATTCTGTGACATATGACATTTTGTGCACCTAACCCACCTTCCTCTATATAAATAAATAACAAAACAACTGTTGTTCATGTGGCTTGTGGAGGTGGTATTGAACTATAATTTATGTTTTGCCTCAATTGCTGATTTATAAAGCTAATTTTTCTTTTTCAAAGTAGAATATCAAGGTACGTATGAATTATTTCAACTTGATATAGGCGCTGTTGCCAATATGTGAATTAGAAACAAATCCCTTTGAAAATTAAAACCCAACATTTGAAACATCAATTTGAATACTTTTCGAAGTGAATTTGGAAAACTCATCAATTGAACTCAACTTTATTTTGTTCATACTTGCATTTGTTGTAATAACCCAGATTGCGGAATATTCGCCATTATACTCCTTATTCCTTTCTTCAGAAACATATTAAGTTGCTCAAAATTGTATAAATTTTCTATGATCTATGATCAATCTCATTAACAGGTGAAAACTTCAGTGAGTAAGTTATTGTGTTTATTTTGTTTTGTAAACATTTGTTCTGTACTTGATTTTATATTCGCCAAATAAATGCTATTCTATTCTGTTCTGTTCTATTCTATTCTATTCTATTCTATTCTATTCTATTCTATTCTATTCTATTCCGTTCCGTTCCGTTCCGTTCCGTTCCGTTCCGTTCCGTTCCGTTCCGTTCCGTTCCGTTCCGTTCCGTTCCGTTCCGCCCCATNTTTGATCTTCCTCTTGAAGATGATCACTTGGTGATCGAAACACGTGTCGAGGTGTTGAAATACCGATTTGGGGTTGGGAAAAACTCCAGTAATATTCATTACTACACCAAAGGTTCCAAACAGTGCATAACATGGATGATGTTAATAATATTCGTAGAGCAACGGGACACTGTATTCATAATTCAATATAAATTGGGATTGTTACAATTTACAATCATTCAAAAATTATTCATTCCAGAAAATATTGAAATTAACATGACGCTTTGTACTACCAAAAAGACACTTAGCCAGAAATTTATTTGGTTTATCCCATGGTTATAAGGGGTGGAAAATTTCTCTTTTCATAATGGCTACATTCATCAATTCACCTGATTAGGTATTTCATGATCAGGGAATGAATTGCTGTAGTGTTGAAATTGCTTTTACGCCATTTTGCTAGCAAAACAAGTAGGATTCTGACATATCACATTTTTCTTAACGTGAAAACGACATTTCGAAAAATACTCGAACAGAAGTTGACAGTTATAATAATTTATCACATTGTCGTGATATACTTGGGAATATTTGACAAATAGTATTTCAACAAAGTTTCAAGGCAACTCGATTTCTCATTTTTTACAACCGCATTAATATGACGCCTCAGTATTTTCTGTTCTGTACAGAAACGGCTTCAATGTTATCATTAGAACAGACATATTTTGAAAGAAATTGTATTGTATGGGATACTCACATATTTTCTCGATTTTTTCTAGGATGATAACTACATGATGGTAGGAATTCAGAACACTTTTTATTTTTTGTCAGATTCAATTAATTTTGGAGTTTAACTTTATTGCTTTCACTATCAAATAAAGACGCATTCAGAGATTTCAGTTTCGTTCAGTTGAACAAACTTCCTTCAAAATTATCTAATTTTTCTGATACAGATCAATTTCATCAGCTATCAGTCGGTTCCTTCATTGTCAAGTGAACGTTTGCTATTTTATACAATGTTGAGATAAATACACTATTTTTGAAAGCTTTTGAGTTATTGATATACTGACACAACTGCCCATACTGAAGTTACTTGATGAAATTGTGAACCAGTTCAACTGAAGGGGTTACTATTAGCGGAAGGCATTTTGAGTATAGTTCATAGTGAATATTATTGGGTTTTTTTCCCAACACCAAACCGTTATTACATCACCTCGACACTTGTTTCGATCACCAAGTGATCATCTTCAAGATGATTAAACTAATCATACTCAGTGAGTGTCTTGAATTAATTTTTCAATTTGCTTCATCTACTTGTCTTAAATTATGTTTACAATGTGTCCTTATGTAATAGTTAGGTAAATCTAATAATGTTGCCTTACCTACTAGTCTTACATAAATTTTACATGTATCCTACTGTAATAAATAGTAAGGTGAATGAAATTTATAAACTATATAAAATTAATTTCACAAATTGCCTTATCTCAAATTATCTCAAATTAATTTCACAATGTGTCCTTATGCAATAGTTAGGTATTTATAAGATTTACCTGACTATTACATAAAGACACATTGTAAAATAATCAAGGACTAGTAGATGAGGCAATATTGTGAGATCAATTTTATACAGCTTGTGAAAATAATATTTTAATTATTAGATTTACCTGACTATCACNTACATGTTGCCTTACCTACTAGTTTTACATAAATTTTACATGTGTCCCAATGTAATAAATAGTAAGGTAAATCTAATAATTGAAATTTATAAGCTATATAAAATAATTTCACAAATTGCCTTATCTACTAGTCTCAAATTAATTTCACAATGTGTCCTTAGGTATTTATTAGATTTACCTAACTATTACATAAAGACACATTGTTAAATTAATTTAGGACTAGTAGACAAGCAATTTGTGAAACAGGTATCTATGGTATGAATAGGGATAGCTTTGTAAGTATTATTAGTTTGATCTTCCTCTTGAAGGTGGTCACTTGGTGATCGAAAAACGTGTCGAAGTGTAGAAATAACGGTTTGGTGTTGGGAAAATCTCTAGTAATATTCAAAACTTCACCAAAGGTTCCAAACAGTGCATCAAGAGAGTTCATATTAATAAAAATGAATGATTAGTAATATGTCACATACCGCATTCTGAATTCGATACTTATTGCTGAAAAAATATCCAAATCTTTCAAGGAATCAATAACAATACCGATTTTTAATGAATAATAACTTTTCTGAAATATTCGAAGAGTGACTCAGAAATATAGTTATACTATTCAACAATGATAACAAGATTATTGCTGAATCACAATGTGGTTTTCTGGAAAACAGATCAACAGAAGACGGAGTTTTTGAGATTGTGAACCAAATCTCAAACTATTTCCAAAATCAACAAAGATGCATAACTATCGATTTGGGTGTGCCCAAGGCATTTGATATTGTCGATCATAATATACTCCTCCAACGTCTGGCTGACACTGATGTGAGGGGTGTTGCTTTGGACATTTATGAGGACCATTTGACGAATACAAACCAAATTGTCGAGGTAAACGACTCTTTCAGCGATCCACGAATTTGGGACGAAACCAAACCACATGAGATGAGAGAGCGTCAAATGCATTCCAAAAATGTCTCTTTTTGATGTGGATTTTAGGCTGGTGGCTTCATCGGTTCATATTTCTTTGAGAACGATGTTCACCAGACCACCACTGTCAACGACGACCACTATTGGTCTTTGAATACCAACTTCTTTTGGCGTGAATTGGATGATCTGGACACCAACGACATGTAGTTTCTACAGTACGTGCCACACAGCTCATGCCACATTGGATATTCTGCACTAGCGATTTGGGGGCATGATCATCTCACATGGAGATGATATGAACTGGCCAACAAGATCGCGCGATTTGACCCCGGTTGACTTTTTCTTGTGTGGTTTTCTCAAGTCGCAGGTATATGCGAATGAGTCACAAACAACGCGGCGGTTCTTACACCCAAGATAACCCATGCCATCAGTCAAATTCAGCCTGATTTATGCGTCAGAATCATGAAAAATCTGACGGTTGGAATGCGCTCTACACAGCCGAATATTTCAACGATGTTATATTCCACATATAATGACATCAATAGGTCTATCGAATGAATAAAAAAATTCTTTGATATCTCATACCCAATTCGTTTTATTTAAATTGTAAGATGGGAAATGAGAAACCATTTCATCAATGTCCCCCCCCAACCTTTTATTTCTTGAACGTGTCGAATCAGATGGCGACTGGGCGCCATCTGGGAACAAAATTGAATGAAAAGGGGAGTCTTGTGACACATCATTTTGAAGCTCCTGACGAATACTTCACAACCCTAGATCATGAAGTAAATATCTTCACCTATCATAAAATGGTGGAACATATCAGTACGATAATGACCATCATTGTTCAGTTAGAATATTCTCATTTAGTTTTCGGTTTTACTTGTAGAAAGGTTGAATGGTTGATTTTCGGCCATTGGAAAAAAAATGAAGCGATTTTCATTTACGGTGCGACGCGTAACTTTCATGAGACTGAAAGGATTTTCAACAAACGTTTTCCGAATCGTCCTATCTGTAGAAAATATTCCAGGAAACTTGTATCCAAATTCACAACTACCGGTAGTGTACATAACAAAAACCCCCAGGTCTTCCGTCCATTCCGGAAGAACAACAAGTGTATTTGATTGGTGATATGGTAGTAAATCCTGAACAGTCTTCTTATTCCATCGCGAATGTTTTTGAGGTGTCTACTTCTACTGTGTGGGGACTTTCGAAGAGGAATAGGTATCATCCATACAAAATTAAAATGGTACACCAATTAACTGAAGATGACCCTGATCGAAAAACAGAATTCAGCGAAATAATGACGGAAACTATTGCAAGGCATCTTACCTATCTACACAATATTTGTTTTAGAGACGAATGTACATTTTTTTAAACGGCAATGTTCACAGACAAAATTGCCGTTATTGGGGTGAAACCAACCCTCACGTTTTCCGGGAAACACATACCCAATATCCAGAAAAAATTAACGTTTGGGCAGGAATATTGAGGAACCATATTGTAAGACCTCTATTCATTGATCAAAATCCAACAGGGGAACTGAATATGATGAAAACTACTGTTGACCCTCTTATCACTGAAATCGTCGAAATTCTACATTTCGAAGATTTGAAACACTCACAAATTCAACCCTGTTATTCTCCATTTCAAAAAATATTTGATGGTACTAATGTATATTGATATTTGATTAAAATCCTACATGTTCTCATTTCAGGACCAATTGAGTGCAACCACGATGGAGGGGGTGAAGTATTCGAGTGTCAAGACAAAAAACTTACATCCTATGTTTCAGGGATCTTTATTGTCCCGGCTATTTTTCTGGCAAGTATCACTAAGCATATCTCCATTGAGCTACACTGATATCATGACAATAAAAGATTCATGTGATTAAGAAAAAGAGCTTCTTGGCTTTCTACTTCTCCATCTCAAACTTCCAAAGAAAGGAGGAAAAGGAGGAAAGGAAAAAAAGTCCATGCGATACAACAACTTACAAATTTATGAACAACGAATAACTATTGAACTACTTCATCTTATTTACTTTATATCCCAATCATTCGTTATGAAACAGGAACGATATACAATATAAAACATGAGAAAGATGTAAAATAATAAATCATCTAAAGGAACAATTCATTCAGCCCAGTCTCAACTCCTGTAGGTTAATAGACTGACACCTATCAGAAAACAACTACTCCCTTTGCTAATTCCACGGAGGGCGTTGGATTATATCCGACAGATGTCCGCGCAGGATTCTTCACTAAAGTCATTCCTGCAGATGCCGCAATAGATTTTCAATTATTGGAACCCACTTGCAGACCGGTTTCGGGCTGTTTGGCCACTCGTCAGTGCATCAACATAAATACTATGATTTCCGATAATTGAAAATCGAATCCATTGAGAGTATCAAAGGATTCTCTCAAAGGCTGAAGCGGACAACAAACAACAGGTTTGCCTGTGAACGAGGTAGCCAACAGCATATGCGAAGTTTGCCCTATTTCTCGTATAAGGAACTTTTCACATTCTTGAAGACTGGCTATAAATCAAATCATCTGAAGCACCAATTCGTTCAGGCCAGTCTGACTGACATCTATAAGAAAACAACTACTCCCCTTGCTAATACCACGAAGCGCTTTGGATTATATCCGACAGGTGTCAGTGCGCACACAATTTCCATGCTAACGGAAACAATCAACTTTTGTTACGTTGTTAAAAATTTACTGACTCAAATGATGCGCATTTTGATTGAATTAAATGAGTATTCACTGAAATACTAGAGTTTGAGGTAGACTTATGAAAATGGACATAACTTCTGAAATAGCCTCAAAAATTTCATTCACATGAATGATATATTTTCTTGTAGATTTTGAGTTTTTCTCACAAGCACGCTTTTCTCAATAGATAGGATCTGCAGACATCAATGAAGTATAGTAATTTTGTTGAAATCAACTGGTAGATTTTTTTTCAGAAAACAGAAAATATCGAGAATTGTAAAAAAGTGGTTCCACAAAGAATATTTGTACAATTTTCCATAGCTGATAGGTAAATATGGAGCTACTGGAATGAAAAGAATTTTATGAGAATATTTTTATCGTATTAGTTAACCATCAGGAAATGACCAAACTGTTCAACCTGGTTTTAGTTACACTTTTTCCTCACCACAGAAAACTTCCTGCAGAGTTTACTGATTATTTCTTTTCCATGACGATCGAATTTTTCATTATGGTTTTTCGCAGGTGGTTACCGTTATTTCTGTGGAAAGGCCTGAAAAAAGAAATAGAAGAAGACGACATATACGAAACTGAGAAGTCGCAAGAATCAGCCTTGCTTGGTGGTCAATTAGAAATGGCATGGAAAAAGGAATTGAACAAAGAGAACCCTTCCCTGGCAAGAGCGCTGTTCAGGGTTTTTGGAGGAGAATTGGCCATATTCGCATTATACCACATATTCGCTGAGGGTGTCAAGTTAGTAAAATCACTTCATTCCATCAGAATGAATAACTTTTTAGAACTCATCAATCCAGTATTTCTCGAGTGAAAATTGATCAAATAAAGATCCGTTTGAATTGTTACTAGTGTATACAGTGGGCCAGATTGAAAACATTTGAAGGGAAACTCTTGTTTTCAGGTCAGATTTTATGACAACTCGATAGTTGAAAGCGCATATAGATATCTATCACCGTTTCTGAGTTACAGCATGTTTTTCGAAAATGTGCATTTTCGAAATATTGCTGTAACTTTTTTCCAGTCAAGCATTTCTTATTTCTATGAAAGCTTTTCCAAAGCACTCCTTTACGTAGAATTTAATGGTGTGAAGAACTCACTTTTTTCAAATACTTTTTTCAATGGTTATTGATGGAAAATACTTTTTTCGATGAAACACCCTGTATATTCCTGCATATTTCGATAGAGCTCAAAATGCCCTATCCAGAAATTTGGCACATCTTGAAATACAGAGCTTTTAAATTTTTTCATGTAGACTTTGAAACTTTAAACTTTGATCGAGTATGCTTTGGACTATGTGGAAATAGGAAAAAGAAGTTGGAAAAAATAGTGTTTACAGGAGCTGTTGAAAATAATTTCAAAACCCCAACGTGCAATTTAAAAATATCAACGGGTTTACCAAGAACTGACGTTAGGAGGATTTTGGAAAAACACAAATTCAAGCCACCAAAAAGAGTTCATTAACTCACACCGGGAGATTTTGAACGCCGCAAGACTTTTTGCCAGTGGTTGCTAAAGAAGTGTAACCAGGTGCGTGATTTTTCGTTGGATAATATTTGGACAGATGAAGCTTTTGTGCGTAGTGCCGGAATGTTCAACCGCTACAATTTATATACTTGGGCACAACAAATGAAAAAAATAGTTTTTACACCATTGATTTCTACGTAGGAAAGTGCTTCGAAAATGGTCTCATAGAAACAGGAAATTTATGACAGGAAAAAAGTTTATTAAAATGCACATTTTCGAAAAACATGCTGTAACTCACAACCGATGCTAGATATCGATATGCGGTTTTCACCATTGAGTTTGTCATAAAATTTGATATTTAGACACAGATATCAGTTTCAATTCATTCAGATTTGGAATAGAAGTTTCCTTTCAAAAGTGTCCAATTTGGCACACTCTGTACAATTCAAAGCAATATCCTGTTTGTCAAAATGAGTAGAAAATTTTTCATTTACGAATATGTTTCTGAAAATGAGATGAAATAATAATATTTCCTTGATAATCTGTTGAATTATTTCAGAAAAAAGTATTGGGTATTCACTCTACTCGGAAGACAATAACTACAACATTTTCCACTGTAGCCACAAATGGTTCGATGAGAAATTAAGAATACAGAATGTGGGTTCAAGCAAAAGTACCCTTGATGTCAAGCTACTTCATTTGTTATGAAATATTGAAACGATTGATTAATGACAATGTTCTGAAAAAAACTTCAATTCATAATCAAAAAATAAAAGGGGAGATGCATTAAGGAGAAACTTTTTATTCAATGAGGATAATTCTCACATCACCAGAATTGCTTGGAAATATTTTGAAGTGCACATGGTCAGTCTGTCATGCTATAGTGAAACAACATGATACCCAGCCTTCAATTTTCAGTTGGCATAATTGTTCATTCAATTTGTTGATCAGTAGGTTGCTGTTTCAATTCAGAATACTTATTCACTGTCAAAAATTAATACGATATTGTAGAATATACAAAGGTCCGTTCTTCTCTGCTTTTGCACAACCAAAACGATACTTTTTTGATTGGATCGTCATAAATAATGAAAAAGGCAATAAATAGCTTTGCTAACGACAACACAGTTGTCTCGTCATTCCATTTGAATTTCAGAACATCGGCTGCAGATGCACATCTTCACTGGCAGCATGAGGGTGCATATCCTACTAAAGATCTAGAGGTGATTTCTAATTGAGGTGGGAGTAACCCGGTTCAATTAAGTGTCAGGACAACCCAGGCATCGGTTTTCTTCAAAAGGACAAATGCCTCTGAACGAGATATAAGATCAGGACAGACTATTCCGTTTTCTGCTTCGATAGATTCGTTTGGGGGTTGAAATATTAGGATGGACACCATTATGGCTTGGCACAATCATGTCCCTCAAATTGCAAAGGCTGCTTCTCAAAAGCTCGGAAAACTGTTCCGAACCATGAATATTACTGGAGTTTTTTCCCAACACCAAATCGTTTGGTGTTGGGAAAAAGCTCCAATGATATTCATTACTACACATGCATCATATGTTCCGAACCAGAAAAATGTACAAACCCCAGCAACTTCTGATGCTTTATAGATGCTTTATAGAGCATCAGAAGTTGTTGGGGCAACCTTCTGATGCTCTATAAAGCATCAGACCTTCTTTAGAGTATTGTTCACATGTATGGAGCCTTGTTCCTAAGCATATACGGACGCTGCCACATTCCATCCAGAAAAGAGCCATCTGCGGAAACACGAACATTATTTGCAACCTTGATAGTTCAAAACATCTAAGAAAGCTTGGAGATTTTTCTCTCTTTCATATATACTTTCTCGGAAGGTGTTCTAGTGACCAAGGAGGTACATATCAGAAATAAGCGACGGACTGTGGCCGCTCATGAGGTTCAACTCGGTACATCTCGAGCACCTGTTAAGAAACTCTTACTTTCGGAAAACTGTACTTATGTGAATCAAAATGCCTCAGAAAGATCTTTCAAATGAAATTAATCTCCAGCGATTCAAATTCATCGTGAATCGCTACTTTCGCACAGGCACCGCTCTGAGAGAGCCTTAAGGATTTTCCTGTAGTGCTTGTATTATGTCCTTGAAAAAAATTGAACTTATTGGATTCATATATTCTTAATGTCAATTTAGGGAAAGAAATGAAAATGAAATGTATATGATATTTTTTTCTGAAAAGTGTTTGACGTTACATACATATTTTATTGTCCAATAAACTCAGTTCACGTTCTTATTTCTATTTCGAATTGAGGATGTAGAAAGCGGGAATATAATTAATGTAGTATGAAAGTTTCAATTTTTGAAAAATAACAACGATTCTCAGCAACGTTAATACTATGTATGTCAATTTCACTAGTTCGGACTTCCATTGTCTACTATATAAATTGATTTGAAATCCCTGAAACAACTAAAGAAGAAGAATTGAAAATGAGTAGCTGAAAATAAATAATAAACCTGAAATGAAATAATAGTGAAATAAAATACAAGTAAAAATAGAACAATTGAATAAAAAAAAATGTACGTAGCAGCCTTACGAAAACCAGGCCACCAAACGCGGACTGCGATTCCAAGAATTGCATTTACCGGATACCCTGTGAGTGCGGAGTAATTTCCTGTTATGGTCATCAAAACGAGCATTGTTTCTGTTTCACTGTGGGGAAAATGAGTTGAATAGATTTACAAATATTGAACTAATGATATGAAATGTAATCACGATTGATTTATATGAACAGAGAAAAACCGGACAAATGATTTTTGGGGTATATTAAAATTTAATTTTTGAAAAATCATTTGATGATTTTCTTCATGAACAAATTGTTTTTCATTCTGCAAATGTTCTATTTTGATTTCTGAAACAAAATTATAACTATTGCTTTAGTAATCAATCTTTGGAATAATTGCTGGAACTGAAAGTACAGAGATTCATCAAACCAATTTTGGTGTTGATGTGATTTTCATTTCATCTGATCTCATTTTGAGAGATTTTGACTACTTCTACAATGAAAGGTGATTTAACAAAATATTAAAATGAGATTGTTTCATTGCAGGGTATCACAACCCATACTCATCTTCCACATGCTTTCCCTATTACAAGATAAGAACCCAGGCGAAGATAACGGAAAGATATTCACCTATGTAGCCTTTGTAGCCTTAGTAGCATTCCTCAGAGCGGCAAGCACCCACAACTATCAAATGAGTATCACGTTTTTAGGAATGAAAGTTCGTATTGCAGTATGCTCTCTCATCTACAGAAAATCGCTGAGGTTGAGTAAGTCTGCCCTTGCCGAAACGACCATAGGGCAGATGGTCAACTTGTTGACTAATGACGTTGGGAGATTCGATACTGTAGCTCAATACTTCCACTATTTGTGGTGTACTCCATTTCTGATACTTGTAGAAGCGTACTTTCTGTTTATTTACGTCGGACCAAGTGGAATTGTTGGAAACGCATACCTGGTGGGGTTTATTCCGGTACAAAGTGAGTTAGAGCTTCTTCTATTCCTGATTCTTTTTTTGAAATTACATCCTCTGAAAGTGTAGTGAAAACTTTCTCTTCGGAAGCAAATTCTGTCCCATATTCATTGAATCTCACAAACCTCCGAAGATAATCAATTTGTTTCAAGAATAATGAGAAAAATGATGTTCATTCGTATAAGTGAATGAATATACCATACAATGAACAAGATACAAGAGAAAAATCACAGAAGCAGTTCAGACTTCTTGTTCGTGACACATGCTTGTGGTAGTATTCGAGTCATAACATGTAAGGTCACATGTAGATAAAATTTTGGAGAAAGATTGATTCTTTTTTTATTTTTATTTTCAATACTCATTTGTAATTCATGATATTGCTAAACATATCACGAGGTACGTAGTTATGAATTCTAGGGTGAAAATATAGCGGAATTTTTTCGCGTATTTTAAATATGTTCGTGAACCTGTAATTCAATTTCCCTATTTTATTGAATAATAGTATAATTGGTAAACAACATTTTGAATGAATTGAACGTCAACAAATTGGTTAATTTTCAAGCGGTGTTTACACTGTCAAAGGTGGAATGTTGAAAACAACTGAGGCGAACTCATCAAATAACCTTATTCCTGAATTATCCAGTCTTAAATGGTCGGATATTTGAATGAAGCTTTATAGAAAAAGGTGACAATTTACAGCTGTGTCGAACGATGCCGAATGGCATCGCTGTTAACTAATCGGTTTTGATTTCGCGTCCGAAGATGAACAACTTTTGGTAAACTTTCTGCAAGATGAATTAGAACTCAAAATGAATAATAACCGACATGGAAATAATAAATAAAAATAAAAATTCTATTCAAAGGAGAAGTTTAACTTCAGTTGTGTAGTCTAAAGCACACTCGGTTTTTTTCGATGAAAACTGCATATGTGCACTCTACAAATATGCAACAATCGAAGCATCCTGACTTGCACTCAGCGATTTGTTATTTTTTTGGTCCAAAACACTACAAAATGCATTTAGCACCTCTGAAAAATATAAACAATTTTCCCAAATAAAAAAAATAAATTATTCCCCGATGAAAATGCAACAGTGTTTAACAATATCTTTTGATTTCCGTAGTATAAAATTGACACAAAATGATCATATTATATGAAAATTTCAAGAAGTATTCATGCCTGGTCTGACAATTCCGCTTTCTGCTTCGATAAGCTTGTTGGGGGTTAAAATGGACACCAATATGTTTTGGCACAATCATGTCGCTGGAATTGCAGAGGCTGCTTCACTGTACACACCTCATCAACTTTTGATGCTGATGTACTACCAAAAAGACACTTAGCCAGTAATTTATTTGGTTTACTCCATGGTTGTAAGGGGTGGAAAACGAAACCCCTAAAATTTATTTCCAGCGTAACTTTTTGTCTTATTATTTGTTCACCATTTGAAAATGTATTTCCGATAGCCTGTTTCATTCTAAACAAAAAATGTCTTTTGGGTTTTTTGCCCAAAATAAACCAGTTCGCAGCAAAACATTATTTTACGAACAACTGAAGAGATACATCGTCATAAATGTGAACTGGATTCATTGTTATTTTGTAGTTAGTACCTGCATCAAACGATTAAAGAGTAGTGAACAAAACTGATTTATTAATAACAAAACACACAACATGTAGAAATCATAGAAAATGTTCAATATGTCTACCTTCAGACATTACGCATGCGTGTCGACGTCGGCGCATTGAGCCACGTATTCGCTCAAATATTCCTGGAGTCTCTCTGATTACCCTGCACGCATCGATGATGCGGTTTCTTAAGTCCTCTACATCGCGAACAGGAATACCATAAACCAAATGCTGTAAATGGCCCCAAATAGAGAAATCAAGAGGATTGAGATCCGGGGATCGAGCGGGCCAGTTCTGTGGTCCTCCCAGACCCATCAACTGATTTGCATATGTTTCAGTTAAATGCTGACGTGCTATTTGACTAAAATGGGCGAAAGCCCCATCATGCTTAGAAAACATATTCCTTCTGACGCCCAAAGGAACTACCTTCAGCAGTACTGGATGCACCTCTCTTGAAAATTGAACGAATGACTCACCATTTAATAGAGGAGGTAGAAAATGAAGCCCAATTAAATCATCTTCAATAACTCCGAGCCACACGTTAAGAGAAAACTGTTATCGATGGTTAGTTTCGACAATAGCGTGAGGGTTTTCATCAGCCCATATGTGGTAATAATAAAAATTAATAATCTTGTCCCGAGAAAAACTACATTCGTCTGTAAATTATATCGTCTTCAGAAAGTCACAATTTCTTCTAATCATTTCCAGCATCCAACTGCAAAATTCAAGACGGTTTCGAAAGTCTCGCGGTAACAGTGCCTCTACTCGTTGCAGATGGTAAGGGTATAAGAGTTGTTGCTTTAAAATTCGAAATACCGTCATATGATCAATATTGGAAAGCAATCTTTCTAGTATTGGTAGTAGGTTATTCTTCAATCAAATCAAGAACTGCTTCCTCAAGCTGTGGTGTTCGTACTTCTCGATGGCGACGACAATTCTGCGTTCTTTTGTCGAATGAACCATATTCTCGTAATCGTTTATGAAGTCGAGCAAATATTCTATGTGAAAAATGCTGCCGTTGATGATACATTAAAGCATATCTTCTAGAAGCTTCTAACCGATTCCCCTGAGATAGACTGTAAACGTAATGCTTATCAGCCATTTCCTCATTTGTGTATGCCATTTTAATAACAAGTGAATTATTAAAGTAACAAATTAAGAACAGAACATGCCATCGGAAAACGAATCCACATGTTTTTCCGCTTGATATAATTGTTTTTTTTTTCAGCTATCCATTTCAATTCTCCCAATTTAATTTGTTCTTTCGAATTATTTCATATCATATTAGACAATGGAAGTCCGACCTATTGAAATTCAACAATATTTCTCTTAGACGAAGGTTTCATACATGCAGTCGAGCCGCTTTGAAGTCCCAGACACTTGAGGAGGAGTCATACTTCGAAACCGGAGTTCATGTGATCTACTAGAATGATTTCAGCATGGTCCTGCTGCTGAATGAATTAGAAACATCTATGACGTTTACCTCTGTGAGGTATCTTGCCGAAATGTCTGTCAGATATAATTCAATATATAGCGTGGTATCAGTCAGAGGAGTAGTTGTTTTCCAGCAGACATTCAACAGAACCTGCCGTGTAGGTAGTTGGGAGAGAATGAATATTCATTTTCATTGGATTTTTTGTTTGAATTTTTTTTTCAATTTCAGTGTTTTTGGCAAAGTTGGTATCTAAATACAGATTGCGTACAGCTACGCGAACGGATGAAAGAGTTCGACTCATGAACGAAATTGTTTCTGGAATACAAGTAATCAAGATGTACACATGGGAAAAGCAATTCAGTAAACTGGCTGAAATTATAAGAAGGTAGGTCGAACCACAAAGTTGATATAAACTTCAAAGTTAACCGTTAACAATATACACAGAAAGTCCCATCACAGCCACTTCCTTGAACAGTATATATCTAACCGTCGACAGTATGAAATTCTGCAAAGCGCAAGAAATATGAGTATTGGGCCCTATTATATATCGATCTACCCATATCTGAATGCGAAAAAGCAGAATGCGTTGGTCTCTGAGCTTTCGTTTATAATTTCATCAAGCGAAAAAGGAACATTTCAGAAAGTCACTTCTATTTATGATTGAGAGAAAAAATGGATTACCCGTCTGATATTTGAAAAAATCTCCACTTTTCAGAAATTAGGCGATGGAAATGAGTTGTTACGCCCATGGTGATAAATTGAATGATCCGCAACTGACAAGTCATACAATGCTGCGATTATTAACAAGTAGTTTAATCGAAGTCCAGTGCTCATTCGGTTGCAGTTCGTGTGATTTTGTATATGTATGTGTAAATCATCAGATCTCAATGATCGTACAATTCATCCATTACTCATACATACAAGAAACACGGCTAGTTCGTTACAGTATCAACAATTGAAAGGAACTGAATAGAAAGAAACTCATGATTACTCTCACCTGTCGAATATTTCGTGAAATCTCCACTTTCCAGAAAGTTGGCGACGAAAAGTGTATGTGTATGTGTATGTGAATTATCAAAATTGAATGATCATACCAAGCACTCATTTGTTGGTTTATTACTCAAGCATAGACAAAATACGGCAAGTTCGTAACAGTATCAAACATTTCAAGTAATCCAATAGAGAACCATTTTTGCATTAGTTTTTTCCATTACAATGGGTAATGTATATTTTTCTGGAACAAACGAAATGTTCTCACCATACTCATTGATCAATGCAAAATTGGATTACAATGGATGACATTTAGTCCACAACAAATTTCCATTCTTGGACGTTATATGTGTGATTGATGACTTGTTTATTTTGTGGTAATTCATGATCACTTTTATGGAATAAATAAAAAAACTTTTGTCTAATTACCACTAGTTGGTAATTAGACAAAGGTATTTTTATTCATTTCATCAAGGTGAATCTTGGACGTATTGGTGGGAAACATCTGTATACCAAAAACCCACTCACACGGGACGGTATCTGAATCACGAATTCAGCCACTATCAATCCACCGAAAAAAAATGAAGACTCTAGTAAATCGTACTTACAGGCTCTGAATTACACAAAAAGTCTTGAGAAGGAACTAGGCATCATCAAAGAAGACCCTCAGCGGAATGGTTACTCCAAAGTAATGGTGGAACAGACTTTGGCTAGAAAACTGCAAAACCTTCGCAAGGAAGTGAAGCCTTCACAACCTCTACCTACTTTTCTACGTATTGCCAAAAATGATGAGAGTCCACGTACAACATCAGAACCTGCTGCAGATCCGGAGACACCACCCGTAGCATCCTCACGAAAACCAGGTCACCAAAAGCGAATTGCTATTGCGAATTGCTATTGCGAATTGCTAGAGTGGAGATACGCAACTTTTCGAAACTTGTTATCACGCGTTATTCGGTGAAACGGTCAACAGAAGAGAGAATAGGTGGAAGCGAATGACTTCTGAATAGTTATCTCTCCAGTCATTACCCGAAGACTATTGTTGACAGTAACAATCGAAATGCTGAACTAACTTGGTTTGAAATGTTTTTTAATTTTTTGAATCCTTTCAAATTTCTTGCTCATATTCATTTCTTTTTTTTTATTCCTTCTCACTCTGTGATCATTTTAATTTTGTATCTATCTAGATTATTTCATTCCTATGTTCTTCACCACTTTTAAAAGTGGCAAGAAATATAGAAATTTTCATTTCTCTTTTCATTGTGATCTCCTACCACGTAATAACGGCTAGATACATCAATTTATTATTTTATTCGGTTCATTGTATTCCCATCACAGGTTTCATTGCTTTATTATTATTATTATACTTTTCACATTTTACTATTCCGCCCACGCACAAGTTTTACTTTTGTAGGTCTTCTCTGGCAGATATCATCAACGGTATGTGTGTTGACTGCGAGGGTTTATTTTTTGAGGTTTCAGAAATGATTAACTGTACTGCACCATCGATAAAAATTCTCACTAACTGATCCTCATACATTTTCATTCAGCAAGCTCTGTAATTTATGACTTTTCTATCGTTTCAGGCAAGAAATACAGCAAATTAGACAAACATTTACAATCAGAGCGTTCACGAATTGCTACTCCATAGTTTCCCTGAAAATTGCCGTTTTCATCAGCATTTTAACACATGTTTTAACAGGAAACACACTTACTGCCAAGTATACCTACACAGTGCTTGTATTCTATGGAGTACTCAGGTCATCGCTGTTGACCTTCTTCACACAAGGTCTCACCTTTTTTGCTGAAGCGAAAGTTTCTGTGAAGAGAATACAGCAATTTTTATTATACGAAGAACTGATGGAAACCGATGTAACTGATCACAATTCATTCTCAAACGATCCAAAACCGTTCGCAAACTTCAAGGAAGGAGACATCGGAATATGCATAGAAAACTTGTCGGCTAAGTGGGTGAAGAAGTTACCTGAGAACATTTTGCAAGGAGTCAATTTCCACGTGGTTAGCAATCAACTGGTAGCTATCGTAGGTCCGGTAGGAGGCGGTAAAACGACTCTTCTAAACGTTATTCTGAAAGAGCTAACCCCCACTGAAGGTTCCGTAGAAGTGAAAGGAACAATATCCTATGCCTCCCAAGAACCTTGGGTATTTGGAGCTAGCGTCAGGCAAAATATTTTGTTCGGTCAAGACTATGATCCCAAAAAATACGATGAAGTTATAAGGGTCTGCGCTTTACAAAGCGACTTCGCTCAATTCAACCATGGTGACAGAACCCTTGTAGGTGAAAGAGGTGTCACTCTTAGCGGAGGACAGAGAGCTAGAATAAATCTAGCAAGAGCAGTATACAAAGAAGCAGACATTTACCTCTTGGATGATCCCTTGTCAGCTGTGGATGCTCAAGTTGGCAAACAACTTTTCGAAGAATGCATTTGCGGATACTTGAAAACCAAATGCGTCATTCTGATAACACACCAGCTACAATACCTCAAGAATGCAGATTACATATACTTACTGAAAGATGGTCGAATTCATTCCTCAGGTACTTTCAACGAGTTGAAAATTTCTGATTGCGACTTCACGACACTTCTCGAAGAACTGAAAGAAGTAGAGGAGAAGGAGGAGGTTCCTACAGAATCAAGAGTTGAGAAAGAATATGAAGTTGACGATGAAAAGTCACCAATGATCCACCAGAAAGAAAAAAAAGCCAGTGGAAAAGTAACTTGGCATGTTTATGAAAGCTACTTCAGAGCAGGAGGTGGCTGGTGCAGAATATTCATTCTACTTTTGGGATACACGATTGGCCAGATGTTCAACAGTGTGACTGATTACTTTCTGTCTATATGGTAGGTAATGAAATACATTTAATTTTTGTTGACTCTAATTTGTATGCTCTCAGGTTGTTCCTTAGGTTTTGTCCGTTTTCATGAGTCAATATTGAACTGTAATATCTCAGTGGATGCTCATTCGATCCATTCGAAATGAGTGTCATTTGAATCAGTACACTTTCGCCAATGTAATACGACACCATTAATTCCGTCAGCATGAAAATTGGGTGCTCTAGATTCGATGTTAATAAAGGCCGTTTTTGCGTTGTTTTGGCGACGATTCTACCAGTATAAAAGTTTTCAATGCGGTCAATTAGCCAGAGGTCTGGAGGTATGGTGGGTGAAGCATAACTACGACGCTCAATACGTTCAACTTTCAAACGATAATTTGTGAAACGTGCAAAAGGAGGTGGACCTCTTCTGTTGACCAGTGCTGGCTACTGATGTGATTTTTCATACATTTTGTCGATTTCCTCCAGTAGGACTCCGCTGTCGTAGAAGATCCACTTTTTATCATACTTGACGATTCGATACAGAAAAAAAGGTCGTTCTGGTTGCGCAGAAGCAAAGAAGAACAGACTTTGAAACGTGACAATTTATCTCGTTCAAATCGTGGGGCACCCACCTTTCCAGCATTTCCTCCCGTGTTTTACCATCAAAAACCGCATCAGAGCTGACACTCAGTTCTTTCGCTATCCCACGTATCATTTGAAATGGATCAGTCTCCAATAGGGTCCTCATTAAAACAGACAGACAAAACTTTTGAAACAACCTGAAATCTATATGTATGTCCCGAATACTGGTACACCTCACTTCAACACTCAAACCGGAAAATTCATAAAACGAGATAAATTGAAAGAAGCATTGGCACAACGCATTATATATTGCTGGACTAATCGATGTTTCCATGAATGCATTCAAGAAATCATCAAAATTTTCTAGAAATGATTGGATTCAGATACTACGAGGTGAGGCTAGAAAATAATGAAGTCGCCACTTTTCACATTCTGCAGGTCGTAGGTTAAATAGTTGGCGTTTCAATTGATAAATGTATCGAAGTGAAATTGTCAGTGAAACTTGTTGGATCCACAACAGATACTTTTTCCAAGTGTATGTAGATGAATGTATGTCAATTATAGGGGTTTTTGAATGGTATAAATAATTCAAAGAAGGGCCAGAATACCAGAAGATGATCCACGCTCAGGCTCTTTTTACAGAAAAGCCATGAAGATTGTGTCTTCAGAAGTACATAGACAGTAAATGAAGAATATTATCTCAATGTTTCCGCCACACTATGTGAGCGAGTATACAAAACTCAATCAGAATTATGAATGAACAAGTCGTAGATACTCCATAATGACAATGCTTCAGTCCACACTGAACTGATTGTTCAGTCATTTGGAGTCAAGCATGGGAACCCTATGTTTGAATATCTCCCAGACCCACCAGATCTAGCTCCATGTGAATTTTTATGTGATTGAGATGTAAAAGTGCATGAATAGTGGTGGAGAGTATGTTAGAGTTGGTGAAAGATCAACAAAAATAAGGAATCCTCTTATTTTCCAGCTAAACTTCGTACATCGATCAATAACCTGATATTTCAAAAATTTCTGTTGATAATGATGATTGAAATATATAATTATTCCACTATCAAACTGCACTTTATGAAAATTCGTGAGAGAATGACGTTTTTGGCACAAGAAACTTAAGTATTTGATATTTGATCTGTCATGATTCAATTTTAAAGTAGAAATCAACGGTTTTCATTGTGGATAACCCTAATTGATGAAATATTGAATGATTTCCAGGGTTAATGTGGAGCAAATGAGGTTGAAGCAAAAAAATGATACCTTCAATTCAGCATCAATTATAGTGGATAGCTCATCGAATAGTACCACCCAATATGAAGCAACAAAAATAATCAGCTTCCGCTCTGGACATTGGTTGAAGCCCATTCTGACTCCTGACAACACAGTAATCATCTACACTTCTTTGATACTAGCGACTGTTATTGTAACAGTCTTGATAAGGATATTATTCTTCAGAAGTTCTTTAAATGCTTCCACTAGGCTACATAATAGGATGTTCAGCAATATTTTGAACTCGACTATGAGATTCTTCAATACAAACCCCTCAGGAAGAATACTCAACAGATTTTCTAAAGATATAGGAATCATTGATGAAGGCATACCAGTGACATTTGGAGAAACCATATCGGTGAGTAGAAATCTTCTGCAGTTCATTAGTCGAGGATACGTCTCTTAGCATATTTTTTCATATTTACCTAGTACGTCACAAGTGGAGGAGGAAAAGGTATAACGAATATTCTTGTGAGATTGTTCAATCTATCTCATTTTGGTTCAGGTGGTTACTTATCAAATATCAACGTTGGCTAATTTTCCTTCATTGGATTCGTTTCGAAATGTTGGAATTGGTGATGAGGATAGTTTTTGATGATAATAATAATAAGCTTCATTTGACAAGTAACAGATCTTCCAGACGTTGGCAAATATACTCTCGAAGGCCAGAAACTCCAGAGTCGTTTCTGAGCACTGTATGTGGGAGAACAAATCCAATACATATGAAATCTAATATTTAGGTACGTTTCTGAATATATCATATTCAGATATTTCACAAATAGGGTAGAAGAATAAAGGAACAAAAATAACCAGAACAGGTATATTATAGTACAACAGATAAAAATATTGAATGAAAATATCAACAAGGAAGTAATGAACATCAAAAGCTTGGAACACTGTTCCGAACCAGAAAACTGTACACACCTCAGCAACTTTTGATGCTTTATAAAGCTCAGATCAGACTTTCTTTGGAGTATTGATCTCATGTATGGAAGTCCGCCCCCAACACATCCTTAAGCTGCTGGATTCCATCCAGAAATGAGCCATCCCCCTGATTAGAAACGCAAACATCACTTGCAACCTTAATAGTCTCGAACATCGAAGAAAGGTTGGTAATTTGTCTCTCATCTATAGATAGTTTCGCCGTTGATTTCACCGGGAGCGAAACATATTAGAAATACGCGGCAAACTGTGCTGCTCATCGCTTTGAGATTCGACTCAGTTTGGGAACTTTTTCATTTGGAGAACAGCGTTTATGTTCCTGAGAAAGTTTTTCCGAATGGATATGATCTCCAGCGATTCAAATCCAATGTGAATCACTACTTTCGCACAGGCATCGCTCTAAGAGCGTCTTGAGGATTTTCCGGTAGTGCTTGTTGTGCGGTAGTGTTTTGTCAAAAAAAAATTCACTCACACTGTATATACATTTATTGATCGATACAGTTATAATACTTCTCTTCTGAAATAGAACATAGCTCATTCAAAATGGCATCATAATATAATGGTGTGGATGAGTAAAATGTATAAGGAATAACTGTTATTATATTTATTCATACTGTCATTTTATCAAAAATACATATTACAAAGGAAATTTCTCAATTACCTAATTACTGTATCAGTTACATTCTCCACAGTAGTTTGCAGTGTTACATTAGGTAACACGGGGGTGTTTCCATGAGAAGTGAAACAAATTCGGATTTTCCAGGACTGAAATTTTTTCAAGAAAAAAGTGTAATCGTAGTAAGTTGGTAGTCCTGATCACGAATCTGAAAGAATTTTGAGCCTATTTTGCCCCCTAATATGTTTTACCGTAAAAATGGTGTGTTCCATCGCGAGTGGCGGACAGTGTATATCACTTTTGCCAACCCCATTCGAGTGATAGGTGCATTTTGAGCATTTTCATCAGTTCGGAGAGTTTCATCATTCTAACTCGAATATTACGGAAGATACGGGGATTTTTCCATGAGAAGTGAGACACACTGTATAAAGACCTACACTAGAAGAAGTATGTTTGTCTAATGTCAAAAGGTTGGAGTTCACTGCATAGCTTCTCAGATGAATATGTACTGAATTTACAGAGAATCGCTTCAAAAAATCGCTCCAGAAGGTTTTTTATTTGTTGAAGATGGGTTTGGAAAATTCCCCCCAAGCAAGTATCGCATAGTTCAAATGAGGTGCCACTAGACTTTTATATAATCTTATTCGATCGTTAATTCCAAAAATATTCTTTCTTCTGTAGAGAAAGTAAAGTATGGATCATAAATTCTTTACGAAATATTTTACGTGAGAATTCCATTTAAGATGGCTACCAATTATTATTCCCAGATATTTCAAGCTTTTTTGTCAAATGTTATTTACTTCTCCAGTGGTTTTGATTGGGAATAGGTTGTTCATATATAATATGGAAAGTAATGGGTTTAACACAGTACTTTGGGGTACACCATAATCTTTAGTACTTGGGATGCTTGAAAAGCCATTCATATCCACAATTTGCGTACGTTGCTAGAAGTAATTTCCGAGAATTTTCAGTTGCAAATCTCTCATGCTAATATCTCTCAGGAATTTGATAAAAAGCGGAAAACTAATGGTATCAATTGTTAACTTTTAATCTTACCTAAAATGTATAAGATTTCTTCATATCAGGCCGAATGACCGATTTTTGATAATTTTTTAAATTTGATTTTCTGAGAGTCAAAAACAATACTTTATTTATATTCTTATCTTAGCAACTAATACAAATAAACGTCAATATAAATCAGTACAGGAATTCAAACAGTAACATTGACAGCCTTCGCTAAATTTAAGTCTGATAATTATGGTGGCTCAGGTATTTTGTTGTTCTGAATGATATACAGTATCACCATTAAAGTGCGCACCTATTGCAGTTTTTGAGTTGTGTCTGCTTTTTCAAAATTGAAGGTACTGACGTTTGTTTAAGAAAATAGCCAAGTGATTGAAACTTTGCACTAAAAATGTCCGTATAAGTAAAAATGTATCGGAAAAGTTAATTTCCATGATGAGTTTGTTATGTATACATGAATTGATGACAATTAACCGAACTTGTTTTTTAAAATGAAGGGGATATCTGTCAAAAATAAGCAAAACTTTAACTTCATCCTAGTTGCATGAAATATGGCACATAGATATAAAATTGCCGTAGACACAACTTTTTCAAGTAACTTTTTGTTAAATTCGATCTAGAAATGCACTTTTTCAATTTTTTTCAAAAAAAAGTTGAATTTGATCAACACTGAACGTCAGTGGGTCGCAGTTGGTCGCATCATTTTAAGTTGAATTCAAAGCACAAACAAGTGCCGAAGTTAAACTTCATTGAAACTTTTCGAAAAAAAAAGTTTCCCATATGGTGCACACTCCAATGGTGACACTGTATGTTCGAGTTTGGATTGAGTCTATTTTGAACCTGTTTGAACATCTGCCCATTCAAAACTGTTCACAATTTTTGAGTTCGATAAACACATCTTAGAAGTTCACACAACCACTGATGAGTCTGAAAAGTCCACCATTATTTTCTTCTTCAACAAAATAGTCGGAAATATCTAAAATGATTCAATAACAATGGTATAACGCTTTGACATATGACTAGACCTACAAAAGACTCATCTATAGCAACTTATGGCGCAAATACTTTTGATTTAGATATCCTCTTGTGTATTTCTCTAGATTGTTGGTGAATGAATAAAATTTTATTTCAGATTGGTTTTTCGATGGTTGCTACATGTTTGATGATTGCGATCCTCAATCCATGGATAATGATTCCTAGCTTAATAATTCTCTTGATATTCTACTTCATGAGGAAAGCCTTTCTGGTATCGAGCAGGAATATTAAACGCATAGAATCTAATAGTAAGTGAGCCAAAGGAATTCCATTCAAATCTCCTCGATCAAGTAAATTGGTATAAATCACTATCTTTTATTCATTAAAAAACGAGCAATCTTCCCAGAACGTCAATACTTTTCTTGACGCGCATTTCACAAAGCAAATTGGAGCCTTTAGGGGATGAAAGAGACTATTGACGAGTATTGAAGTTCTGGTGATTGGGAAACGTGCTATTCTTCGGATTCATTTTATGCCAGAGGTTCCACTTCCTCCTTCAATTTTCTTTTCTTTTCTCAGCACGCAGTCCTGTTTACACTCATCTTGCAGCCTCGCTTCAAGGATTGACCACCATCCGAGCCTTTGGTGCAGAAAAAGTTATATCCGAAGAGTTCGACAGATTTCAGGATTCATACACATCCGCATATGTCATGTTTACCAGTGCGACTCGTGGATTTGGGTTCTGGTTGGACTTCCATTGTAGTATATATATTTTTTTGGTGATGGTCAGCATTTTGTTCATCGAAAACGGTGAGTCAATTCCATGAAGATCGATAATACCAATTTGAAATTTTTCCATACTGCTTCTTTAGAAAATGTGCTGTAGATTGGGTGTGTGTAAAAATGTTCAATCACAAAAACTTTTTACAGGATGTTTTAATTCAAGTCGGTCGATCGGTAGCCGGTCGGTTCGACGTGGGTGCTTTGTTCACTCACTCGAATCGGCCGCCGTGTTGGTCGATAGTTCAAGCCCCAGGCCGAAAGATCGATTTCCACTTGCTATGGTCCATTCCGTGTTAGAAATCACACGTTGAAAAGTAAGACCTTGTTAATCCTTAGCTCGCACAATTTTCGACTTCTAAGGGTTGTCGTTCGTAGGGGTGTGACGGCTGGTTAACGAAAAAACCAGATTTTAAACAAATTCAAGTTATCAAGTAACCCTATTTCATTCCATCATTGAAATAACGTTTTAACATGCATCTCAACACGAGATGAACTACTTCATTTATAGTTGTTTTGAATCATATTTCCTACGCTCATTCCCTTCAAATCGGCAAAAGGAATCTCATTCCAGTAATTAGTACATGCCTAGAGGGCGTCAGCTACTTACTCACCCATTATTGAAAAAATCACCATCACACCATCCCCGGAAGCATATCATTTGATTCGCAACTGAGAATTTTTTTTAGTGCACTCTCCGAGATTATATTTTATTTCCATGATAGAGTCGAATGGTTGATTGAAAGTCAATTTTTTTTGTCTAATGTATCCTATTCTATTCAACTGTATGTCATTCTGTTTTATTGTATTATATTACCATTCATAGCTTTCTCTTTCAGTTCTCATTATTGAAAAAATCACCATCACACCATCCCCGGAAGCATAACAATTGCTTCGCATCTGAGATTTTTTTTTACTGCACTCTCCTAGATTATATTTTATTTCCATGATAGAGTCGAATGGTTGATTGAAAGTCAATTTTTTTGTCTAATGTATCCTATTTTATTTGACTGTTTGTCATTCTGTTTTAATGTATTATATTTTATATGATGTATTTATTTGTAGTATTCAATTGGATTTATTGGATCTTATATTATTTCATTGTAGTTTCACTTCTTCGATTGACGACTTGTTTATTTTGTGGAAATTCATATTCACTGAGGATACACTACAAAAACACACTTTTGTCTATTTTCCACTATATTTCTTTATAGCCGAAACTGGTCAACAATAAAGAAATATAGTGGAAAATAGACAAAAGTGTGTTTTTGTAGTGTATCCTCAGATTTCATTGTAGCATTACTATATCTTGTTTGTAGTTACATATTTACATTTCACATATACTAAAATACACATGATTTATTATTTTTTTATCTTTTTTCTCTTCAAATCATCAATTTTTGGCAATGTATTTCACATATATTATCACATTTTCCATATTATTATATTCTCATATAGTTATTTACCTGTACTTTGTTTATGAGAAACAAGTGCTTGCACTTATCTCCATACTATTCATTCAGATCAAGCATGTAGCCTCTTAGTTCTATTTATTTATTTCACTCTGGATTATTATCATTATTATCATTAATAGCTTTCTCTTTCAGTTCGTGTCTGAAAGTTCCCTTTTCGCATGATGTACACATCTTCATAGAGGGTTTACTTTGAAATTGATTGCTTCCTTCCTTTCTTTGGGAGATTTCCACAGTTTTGCATTGAGAGATGATGAAGTAGAAATAAAAAACCTTTCTCTCCCAAAAACTTTATATTATATTCAGAAATCTCAATATCTCAATCAAAACGTATAGGTATCATAAAACATTTTCAATTTTTATCCCAACATTATTCTGGATATCAGCAATTTCATTGAAATCGAAGAGAATACTCTACGTACAATTAATGCATCTAGATGCGTCAATTAAGTCTGGTGACTCGGGTACCGACTCTGCGGGCACTTGCCAAAGCACGATAGATTTCGACAATGAAATCCTATTGTTGAGAAATACGGAAAGGCATATGGCTTATTCTTGACAAAAATACTTTTTCAGTATGATATGACGCCTAACTACAATCTCTCTTCATGAAAAGGTTATTTTGTTATTTAATCGTTGTGGGTCATCATAATACTGGTTTATGAATTGAACATAATTGCATGTGCTTAAACTTGGCTATATGCAAAGGAGTCTTATACAGAATTCAGAATCGTCTAGTTTTGGACATTGTAGATATGATGATGAGGAGAACGAAAGTAGTCCCATTATAACTATGTTATTATCGAATGATATGAGAATACAAGTTTGAGAATTTGTGATATTGGATTCAGTAGTTATTTAGAAAGTGTTGAAAAAGATCTACGTTCTCAAATATGTAACTTTTCCAGGTGTAACCTACGGAAGCTCATCCTTCAATTCCACCGCAAGTGAAAAAAACTCTAATCAATATTTTTCTATATTTCAGAGTCATATAGTGGCAACATTGGTTTATCAATAACTCAAGCGATCAGTCTGACCGGAATTTTCCAACACTTCCTTAGACAGTGGAGCGAATTCGTAAATCAAATGACATCTGTGGAGAGGATCCAGGAATACGCAGATATCATTCCAGAACAGGATATCATTACAAAATCTCCTCCAAAATCTTGGCCTGACAGAGGAAGAATTGACTTCGTGAACGTGTATATGAAATATTCCAAAAATACTCCATACATTCTTAAGAATCTCGTTTTCGGAATCCGACCAATAGAGAAGATCGGAATAGTAGGACGTACTGGAGCAGGAAAATCTTCTTTGATCCAGGCTCTTTTCAGACTGGTTGATATTGAAGGCAGCATTCTGATTGATGATATCGATACAAAAAGTGTTCCACTGAATGTTCTCAGGTCGAAAATATCCATAATCCCCCAAGAACCGGTTTTATTTTCTGGAACTCTCAGGATGAATTTGGATCCTTTCGACGACTATGATGATGAAGTGAGTATGCTGTAACTATTTTGTGACCGGCTCGTCATGGTTTATTCTGTGAATTACCCATTATAATGAGTGCTGTTTATTTTTCATTCCTTAGTATCCATCTTTGTTGGAGTGAAATATTTTTTTGATTGAATCAACCGAATTAGATATCGCGGGTGTACAAGGTCTGTTCAAAAATTAAGGTGAATGTTCAAATTTCGCGGGCTCGTACATTCGATTATCAATTTTTTTGTCATGTTGGTACACTCGTTCCGAACATATATTCACAGTTTCAGCTGTTTAGTTTGTTGGTGAGAGGCATAAAAGTTAGAAGTGTTTCGCTTGTTCGGGGATTTTCCGTTATAGTTCAAAAAAATCAAAGAATTCGCGTAAACTTTTATGTAAAAAATGGCACTTCAAATGTTGTCAGTTGCATACGGTGATTGTACTCTGAATCGAAAAAATGTTTACGAGTGGTATAAGTTCATCACAGAAGATCGAGAAAATGTGAATGACGACGCTCGCTGTGGACGCTCCAGCACATTAACAATCGATGATAATATTGAGAAAGTGAAGAAACTTTTCATGAAGAATCGTCGAATAACTATCAAAGAAGTTCCTGAAGATATCGGTATATCGGTTGGGCCATGCCATGCAATGTTTCCGTGAATTTCGGACATGGAGCATGTGGCAGTAAAGCTCGTTCCAAAATTGCTGAATGTCGACCAAAATAACCGTTGCATGAGTATCGCAAAAATTGTTTAATGACGTCAACGGTAATTCAGATTTGCTTGAAAAGCTCATAACTGGTGACAAATCATGTAAATATGTTCATGACATCGAAACCAAAGTCCAATCGTCCCAATGGAAGATCCAAGATCAAAAAGGCACGCCAAGTTCGAATAAATGCAAGAGTTTTGCTCACTGTTTTCTTCGATTACCGTGGCGTAGTGCATCAGGGGTTTTTTCCACAGAATCGTAGAATCAAAAAGGAGTATCATCTTGAAGTAATGCGTCGCTTGCGAGAAGCAATACGAAGAAAATATCTGGTATCGTGAAAAAACATATAGTAGATTTTGCATCATAATAATGCATCTGCTCATTGCTTGTTCGTAATTTTTTGGCTAAAAAAAAACACCGTTCTCGTGATTCAGCCACTGGAGAGATTGAAGAGATATAAATGACGACATTGAGGAGAAAAACCGAATAGCTGAGAAAGCTTAAGTGCATTTCGAAACTGCTTCGAGGATTGGAGTATATCATGTTGATGGATGTATGAATGGATATTTTTTTGAGAAAAATTAAAATTTACCGTATTTTTTTAACATACCTCTTACACCAAACCACCCGTTTTTACCCATACTTTCCCTGCTAAATTGAATCTATAAATCCCAGTGCTATAGTTTGAGGAAACAAAAATCGTTTTAGAACATTTACTAATCTTCAAGCAAAAACTAACCTATTTCATTCAGTGGATTGTTATTTCAACTGTAAAACTATCTGTTGGCTTCGATCGTAAATAATTATGTGTGGAATTACGAATCGAATGACTTCTTAATTCATGAAATCGAACTGGAATTATGTGAAATGACACTTGTTTCCTCAACTGCAAGCAATATTCAAATGAAAGTTCTGAAACAAAAATATGTTTTTTATACATTCTTCATTTCCAGATACTGTGGGATGCCCTTGAACAAGTAGAACTGAAAAAGTTAGTGAATGAATTTCCTGAAGGTTTAGACAGTAAGGTCAGTGAAGGCGGCTCCAATTTTAGTGTGGGACAGAGGCAGCTCATATGTCTTGCTCGTGCCATAGTACGCCAAAACAAAATTCTAGTACTAGACGAGGCCACAGCCAACGTTGACCCACAGACAGATGCTCTGGTCCAGAATACCATAAGGCAAAAATTTTCCAGCTGTACTGTATTAACCATTGCTCACAGACTGCACTCCATCATGGATTCAGATAAGGTGTTGGTAATGGACGGTGGAGAAGCGGTAGAATTCGATCATCCGTTTGTCCTTCTGCAGATGAACAAAGGGGTTTTCCATGAACTTGTTAACCAAACTGGGGCTTCGATGGCTCAAAATCTGTACGCCATTGCTGAAGAGAAATTTTCGCGAAAGAAGTGATTGAATGTTCATTCGAAAGTGGTTGACAATGTTTCATGGTGACATTCATTTGTTCGGACTTCCATTGTCTTATATGATTCTACTACGACTGAAAATCTATGAAAGATCAATTGGAATTGAAATGAATAGCTGAAATATCAATTATGTTAAGCAATGAAACGTAAAATAAAAATACAAGTACAAATGAAGGACTCAATACTCTTTTCTGTTTTTTTTGGTATATATCTAACCTTCCACAATCTTTTGATATTTCATGGCATCGGCCAATACTTGATGGAAATCCAGAACGTTCTCAACTGAACAGTTTTACAAGCCAAAGAAGCCCTAAGAAGAAATTGTATGGTGAAACACGCCCAGAAGTATTTTTTGAATACTTCCAAAATCTATTTTTTTACAGATTGTGGAAGGTTATGTACCTTCTGTATAGAGTCTGCGGAGTTCAAAGAGAAAATTTCGATATTTTATCCGTTTTTCCTCCTATTCGTCTCGCCAGGAGCTGAAAACTCCACGACAAATATCGTCTTGCTCTGGTGGTCGAGAAGGATTACATCAGGCTTATTAGCTTGTATGAGCCTGAAGATGGTGAACGAATACTTTCAATAAATTCGGCACTTCGCGTTCTCCACAAAGAATTCAATTTCTCGGAGCGCAGGACAACACCAGTGTCTCGTCATTACCGTAAGAGTGCCGTAGACGATAATATAGCACTTAAAGGGCCGCGTTATGTTGATGGATATAGGCTTATATCGCATATGCTGGACATGCTGATAGCAAGTGCATTAGGGTCTCGAACACCTCGCCACAGACCCTGTACCTTGTGTCAGACACCCCTATACCCATCATGCGACTGCCGTAGACTGAGGTGTTGAAGACACCATCCTGGTAGGCCATGATGAACCCCTCAGTTTCTGACTTCAGCCCACTCGACCTGAGAGAAGCTAAAGTCAGGCGCTTTGATAAGCCAAAGTCTTTGATATTATTGAAGAAGACCCCATGCATTGGCTTATACGCAGAGATGAGGTGATCTCTGCGGCTTTTATTTGAGCTTTCTGCTGAACGGGTTTCAACTCGGTGACAGAAATGTGGTCACCTCGTTCAGTGTCGAAAACTAAATCGAGTTCATCAGCTGCTCGTGCAGCTGCCCTAAAGAGAAAAGCTCCAATTCCTGCTCTATTATGGTCACGGACCATGCAGAGGAGGGGATCCAAACTCCTGACGACTTTACAGGCTACATCCAGTACCATTCTGTAATGTGGATACTCCAAACTCAAAACAAACGACCTCCCTGTTGTCGGGAGAAGTACAACCGTGGAACGGATGATTTGGGATGCAAACTCCTATAAAGATGCATCTTTTTTTGGTCTTCACGTCGAGTTCATACAGCCCCTACCAAGTACACCACTACTCCAAACGAGTAGAGTACGATTGGAATGGCAAGCATATTTGTTGCAGCATTTTTGTTTGTCCCCGATAATTCAGATGACCAGATATGTCGAAGTTTGTGCTGATACTTGCCGTGGAGAGAGTTCTTCACTGCTGTTACCACTTGTGAGTAGCGTTGTTCCACCCCGAGGTAAGTATATGTCTCTCCGGAATCCAAATGGTGTAGGATACTATCATCTACGAGCTGCATGTCCCCGCGTCGTCCTATTTTGAAGTGGACCATTGCACATCTGTCTATCCCGAATTTCTTACCGATATCATGCGTGTACTCTTCCACCACCCGCAAGGATTGACGGAGATCCTTCTTTCCGGAGGCATAGTGGCAATAGTGAGCTGCAGAGTAGAAAGGAACTGAGGAAATCGCCCTGAAATACACCCCTTCTAAAAGTGACCCACCCAATTTGGACTCTGGCTTGACAAGATGTTATAGTGGTTTCCGTTTTTCAAGGCATTTCACTATTTTATAGAGTACCGCAAGGTATCTAAGCAAATGCAAGATGAGCTCATGCGATGTTGTATCGAATGCCTTGCGGCAATCGATCCAGGCCATAGAGAGGTTGCGGTTATCTTGCATCGAGTTCTACGTTACACATCTATCGATGAGCAGGGTTTCTTTTCGAAGGGAGATACAGTGAATTATGTGCAATAGAAAACGTAAGTAAGTGTGGTAAGTGAGTTTATTATCAACACAGTCAATTATGTTCTTCATAATAAGACTATGTAGTGCCGATCTTAGTCAGATTAAGATATTCCGAAAAATTGCGATATCATTTTGTTAAAATTAAAACCCATTGCCAATGAATTATCAGGTGATGGATACCAGACACCTACATGAGCCTAAAACAAATAGACAACAGTGTTACTTCATTAAATATTTGATCAGTGATTTTTGTAACATTATCACAGATAATATTACCAATTGTTAGAAAGAAATTGTTCCATTTGCCTTCGTTTCAAAAGTGAGTAGGTTGTGTTGATTTGATTTTTGTTGCCTCTCATTCCAAAAATGTGTTTCAACAGTATCTGCACTAAATATTATATCAGTCAGTTTTTTTTATAAAAACAAATCAGAAGTTCAAATGGAAAGGGCTGAGTTTTCAGAAGAGATTAATTTTTGGAGAGAGAGGTGTTGGCTTTCTACCTCGTCATCTTCATCACCGGTCTTTCAACAGAGACTTCCGAACATTAACAATAATTAATGGCCATCTTGTTGAAGCTACATCTGTCAAAGTAGTTGTTATTAATTCAGTCTGTTTCGCCAAGTCACCATGGACAGATATGTTCGGGCAACGTACCGCGCGCTTTGCCCATCTTACGGTCGCCATAATCGTCCTACCCAGAGGTCAATTCGCAATATGGTGAACATTTTGAGAAAAATGATTCAATAAACGATCGACCAACACCCGTCATCGAAGAAACTCAAGATCTGCCGAAGACATCGCTGCGATATGTGAGAGACTACGCTCACAAAAAATCGGGCTTTCTCAGACCAAAACTTCGCGAATCTTGCGTCGTGACTTGGATCTACACCCGTATACAATTCAACTGACCCAGAAACTGAAGGTAAACGACCATAGACAACGACAACAGTTGGCAATTGACTCTAATCTTTATCGAAAAATCATCTGCAGCGATGAGACCCATTTCTGGGTGAATGGGTACGTTGAAGTCATGAATGTTCTACAATGTAGACTTACGCATAATGAAAAAAATCATAACTTTTCTTGAACCTAAACTTCACAAGACTCTGCCTGTATCATTAGAAGGCTTGAGATACGAAGTCAAATTCGGAAGATACTCAAAAAAATTGTTGACATCAATTATGATACGCTTCTACTGTTACTTGCATAAGGAATAACCATTATTCGAGGTTCCTTCCACCACTAACAGACCTCTCTCTCGTTTTCATCCTTTATCTTCTTCCTTCCTCCACCCTGCGAATTAGTATGTCTGGTTGTATAGGATTGAAATTAACATTATGTTTCCTGACTACAATACAAGCTTGCTCAGGTAGCCGTGACTTTCATCGGTTCTCCTAGGATTATATAATCTCTAAATTTCATATATCTTGTTGTTGTTTCTCTCATAGACGAATATGTATCAATCGTATAACTGAATTGATCAAATCACATATTTACTCACTTAATTTAAATTTTCACCTGAAGATTGGTTGAGAATATTGAGAAATACTACACTGAGAAAAAACTTCAATAACCATTTGAAATTTCATCTGTATAAATCAAAAACTTCATCTACTAAAAATATTACTGGCGAACAGTTCTCAGATAGTTTGTCAATATTGCATGGTCAGAATGACTTAAAATCATTACTTACAAGTATACTGAAACATTTTCAACATCTATCGAACATTTTGATTTGTATAAGTTTTGTAATAGTTCTGTTTGATGCACTTGTCATCTATAAAGTCTGTATTTATCATTATCAAATGTTGTTTTCTCAACAATTTCTTTTCCGGCTTTACATCAAACGTTGAAAACTTTCAGAAAAATATTCATTTGAATGAAAATTCCTCAGTAAAAACATGGATTATTTCACAAAAAATATGCATATGATCACAACGGATGTAATACAGTCAGTAAATATGGTGCTTGTTATTTACTTTGATCGTGTGCCTCGATAGATAAATCAATCAATTATTGAAAAGTGCAATGTATGGGATATTACGTTGAAAGCAACTAAGCAGTGAATAGGAGAGAGAGTACCTTAGTCATTCATCTACCATCTCATCACCAACATATGTGTACTAATGAGAAACACAAACATGTTCTAATTTCTGGTACCTCGTGAATAGTATATTTCTTGGGTATACATTGATCATAGTAAGTAAATTTCAGTTTGAGTAAATATTTTGAGGTCAGGGTCGTTTTTTATTCGAGGTTTGAAAGTGGTAATTCAAAAGATGATACCAGTAGTTGAAACCGTATTTAATCTGATCACTTGAAGCATTTTTTGTATTATCAATTTCACATTTCGAATATTTGAAAGACTCAGAAATTCAACCCTGTTATTTTTCTTTTCAAAATTATCCTGACTGACTTTATGATCGTACTTGTATTCCTGAATTTTTTTTTAAAGAAATTCGTATATATTGATATCTGATCAACATCTTACATGTTCTTATTTCAGAACCAACTGAGTGACAACCAAGATGGAAGGTGTGAAGTATTCGAGTGTCCACAGAAAAAAATTACATCCCATGTACCAGGGATCTTTATTGTCCAGGCTCTTTTTCTGGTAAGTATCATCAAACATATCTTCAATCAGCTACACTATTATTATGAAAATACAAGATTCATGTGATAGGCGAAAGGAGCTTCTTAACATTTCACTTCTCCATCTTAAACTTCCAAAGGAAGGAGAAAAGGGATTAACTCTTCAGAAAGATGTATATTTTGATGTTTTGCTATTTTTTCATATCATTACTGTATGATGTCATTACCCGATTTCCGGCCAATTTTCCTTTACCAAATTGAACAAAAGCGATGCCGGAATAGTCCAAAAATTAACCTGTAACCCAGGACGAGAATTTGAGGACCCTGGTGGAGACTGACTCATCACAAATGGTTCGTGGGATGGCGGAAGGAATGGGCGTCAGCTCCCATGTGGTTTTAGATGCTTCAAAACTCATTGGAGAGGTCAAGAAGCTCGAGAATTAGGTGCATCACGATTTAAAGGGCCAACACGAGTTGCCACGTTTCGAGGTCTGTTCGCAAAACCATATTTTTAGGACCAGATCGTCACGTATGATGAAAAGTGAATTATCTATCACAACAGGAGTCGTTCAGGACAGTGGTTGGACACCGATGAGCTACT